TGGTCTCACATTACATACTTACAATTACAATTATACACCTACCCAAAACACTTTGCTAAACTGGAATCTGTCTCATCTGCAAAGACTCGCGTACTTCTTTTCAACTGCAAATACTTACCTTGCATATTTCTGAAATTTAGGAATATTATACACTTTTCTGACTGCCGTGAAAAGATAAAAATACTCTCCGGATTTAAAACACTACAAAATTTATAATGCCTCGTGTTTGTGTATTTCATTATAACTATGCCAACAGAAATGTTGCTTATGCATGTTATTCAAACACTCTTAACACAAAACTCATCAGCAGTTTCTAGAATGCGGCTTCAAAGTCCAGACTCCACAAGGGCAAAGTACTACCTTAATTATTGGGAAACGGTCCTTTCTCCCTGGCCTATTATTAATCCACACTCTTTGCTACATTCTGGCTCTACTTTGACAAGAAGGGCTGGTAAGGTTCCTGTAGGAAGCCTGCTAATTAGAAGGATATTATACAAGAGAACAGTAATTGTAGATTTAAATCTCATTGAAATAGCAGTCTAGAAATAGGTTTTCTAGATTTCAGCAATTGCTCCAGCCACCACGGTAAACATTTCCACAATACTTCTTTCAGCAGGTACTAAGTAAAAGCATAAAACACAGAATAAAAAAAAAATAAAATAGAATGTACTGATTCCTAATGCTTACAGGCTGTTTCTTAAATTTACTGAATCTACAAGTCTTTATTAAAAATACATTGCCACGTCATTTTTTCACCACATGTAACTATCTGTAATTTCATCATTAGATTCTGCACAGAATCAGCAATTTTAACAGTCGTGCTTTTCTGCCTTCCCCTTACAAATCAGTCTTTTCCTGAAATTAAATCTATTTACAATTTCTCTGCTAACCTGTACTCCACACTTTGACTACATAATCAAAGCTAATGTACTAGTTTACATGTCCCTATTTATGTGGTAAATCAAACAAAAATATGAAAATTAATTAATTCTTAAACACTTTACCAGATGGATCAAATATTAATGAAAAAAGTTAGAATGGAATAAAAAAAAAAATCTGATTAAGAGGATCCTGCTGGGATTCTGCACAATAGGAACATAAATTCTTTAAGTTCTACGTGGAGAGGAAAAAGCTGCTTTGGGAGAAAGTCCACTTTTTATCTCAAGATCTTACCAGAAATTAGTTTGTAGGAAGGAATGTAATCTGGCCTTCATAAAAACATTCAACTTAAAAATACCTGTAGGTTTTAAATAAACACAAACATATCCAGACTGAAACTAAGATAATAATTTTACATCTTTTGATCACGTAACAATATGCAGTTATAGGGCCTGAAGTATCCCAGTGTATTCTGAGAATGCAACTAAGTACAAATTTAGAGATGATGATAAAGGAATAACATCGATCTAGCTGTCTAAAGCTGTAAAGGCCACACATCTATACCAGTAAAACCAACACTGCTGTGAGCATTCCCCTGGATGGAAATGAACTGCCTGTACTATTAATTTGTTAGAAAAGGCCCTGAAACAATTTCTGCCCAGGCCAATTAGCATTCCTTCAAGCAATTTAAAGGCACTGTTCAGAAGCTACCTTTGGTCAGGGGACCATTCCCAGAAGTAAATCTGGATACAGCCCCCCTGTTTTGTGGCTAAGAGTATGGACATGAGCCATTTTGTGTCAATTAGCTGCAGGCACACTTAATTCACTAATATAGCCAGAGAAACACTGAACGCTACACAGATGGCCTCTGGCTTAACACTAATTCTGATGCAGCATGGGGAAAGCTGAACGATAGATGAAGTGTCGCTCCTTCGGAGAAGATTTTAAAATTACCAGCAACATAATAATCATGAAGAATTTATAAGCATTTTCTTTTTGCTTTGTATAACTGTAATGTAAAGCCATTAGAACATATACAAAGATGAAAGAGAGAGAATAAACAGGCACGATGAATACAGATAAAGCCCAAAGATCAGATTTCCTGTTGGGAAATACCTGTCTCAGGCACAGAAGATAATAATTGCAAATTGCTTTAAAGGCAGAAGGAAGAGAAATTTTGGATATTAGAAGGGAAAAAAAAAAAAAAAAAAAAAAGAAACCAACAACCCTACTTTCATCTAAAAAATTACTCAATGAGAATGCTGTTGTGAAATAGGCAGTAAAAACACTCAAACTCTAAGCTTATTTAACACTGAGTAGACATACTAAGAATTTGTTGAGCATACTGGAAGAGAAATTGTATTCTTTTATAGGAAGGCTGAAAAATAGAAAAGAGTATTAATAGTATTCAGATATTAAGTATTAGAAAAGGTTTGGAGGATACCGAGTCCCTGCTGGTGGTCTGGGGTTTAGAGGAGATAAAACCTGATCCTCCACTGTGGATTGACCAGCCTTTCCAAATCCGGCGTAAACCCAGTAAGGCTTATTGTATTGCTATTATTTTGAATGGAAAAAATTTGTGGGAAGAGAAATGCTCTGCAATTAACATACTCTGTACCTTTTTAAGAGGCAGAGAGTAGGTACTTCGAAGACTGAAAAAAGTTTGTTACGGAAAGGAACAAATTTACATTATATCTGTATTAAGCAATATATAAGAAAGTAAACAAACATTTTGCTAGTTAATAATCTAGAGGTTATCCTTTTTTTCCTCAGAGCCGCCTTCTACACTGTACATAAATTCTGAATAGCGTTAAATGCTACCACCAGGGTGGACAGGGCTTTCAGCAACCTGATCCAGTGAAAGACGTCCCTGCTCGTAGTAGGGGGGGTGGACTAGATGATCTTTAACGCTCAAACTATTCTATGATTCTGTATTATTCCAGCATATAATGACTGGATTTGTTACTTATGCTCCCTTCAGCCTTCCACTTGACTATTACAGCGCACAATATCTGGTCAAGACAACCAATTTTCAGAAAACCTAGCTATAGGTTCACAATAGTGTACTTACACAGAAAAGAGACACTTTACATAGGTTTCCAGCTAAGAGCAGCATACGGTGCTGGTCCTCTTCTTTAAGTACTCAGTATTCTGAAACCAGGCTACCTCGGTGTAACCTAAGCTCTGGACATGTTGACGATTCTTCTTTAGGTCAGTGAAACCTTCTACCAAGAGGCAGAGCTCCTATCTACAAAAGGGTAAACTTTCTCAGAAATAAACTTCAAACAAGAAATTCAAAATAAAACTTCAGTATCTTCTGCTCACATATAACATCACGCTTTGCAACAGCTGGGGAAAAAAGTAAATCCTTAAGTAGCATAAAAAGGACTAATCCAGCAATAATATCCAACCCTCTGGAAAGATCACGATAGAAGGAACAAACCGCATAGAATGTTTTGCTTTAACAACGACCTTAAGGTGATCAGACCTTACTGTGACAATGGCACTACTACTAGAACTTAACCTGAATAAAAATGGAAGTCTTTTGGGATTCTTTTCAAGAAAACTTACTAAAATGTCTCTTAAGGATTCAACCTTTTAAAGTCTTTGTCTGATACTATGAGAAGCTTAAAATCTGTGCAGCAACAAAAGAAATTAGGGGGTCAAAAAGTGCTTTTCTTCCTGTGTCCTTCTTTCCCAAGATTCTCTTGAGCACTGGGTTCTCTCTTCACATACTCCCTTCTATTAAGTAACAATCAACTTCCCTTAATCAATGCCATTTTTAATTTCTTTTTCTCTCTTTTTTAAAAGAGCTTCTGTAGAAGAGCCCAGAGCAGCAGACATTTCAAGCAGCTGTAGCGTGGCATTGCCACTATTGTTGTCATTTTCAGAATGACAGGAACATCTACAGGGAAAACAGCTCAGGTCTTGCTCATTTCTAGCCCCTAAAATTCAGAAAAGTTACAAGTGAAAAAACTTTCCAGTTCTGCTTGTTCGAAGAGTCAGGAATACAGAATTTGAGTTACATTTTTAATGCCTTCAATGAAAATAAAATTCTGAGGAAACTGATTTCCTTTTGTTTCTCCTCTTTTCCAAGGGTTAACAACAGTGCCTGTGCATTCCAGAACAGAGTGTTTCAAAGTGAAAATGCACAGGAATTGTGATTAAATCAATACAGCTATTTTAGCTTTCCATTTAAACAGAAATTGCTTCAAGATAACTAAGATGAAGACTTGACATAGTATTTACACACACAAAATATGGCCCTTTTTACAGTGATTTATTGTCATAATACAATTCTCTGCTTTTATTTCAGATTATGTAAAGGAAGAAAAAAACATGTAAAATATTTTTAAAATATCTAGAATATCTAACACACGCTGACATGCATTCAGGTATCTTACAAATTAAGAAATGGCATAATATAGGAACTCAAGTGTTCTCAGCATCTTTGACTACAGAATTTCTAGTGGAAGTAAGGACTGAACACATTAATTGCCTACAAAGGTTTCCTTTCCTTTGACACCTTCTGAAAGTTCCAAAGAAGTAAACCACAAGTTAAACACCATCATACTCAAATCCTTTATAACAACAGGTTCTCAACTCTCTCTTTATACTGTTTCATGATAAAAATACTACTACAATTATTTCATTACAGTAGTATTCTTTGCCTATTTTCAAGCACACAATCATCTTTTCGAGGGAGAGCAGAAGTGGCAAGGAAATCAGCACAATATAAAAATTACTAAGCTCTAAAATGACAGTTTTGAAACTTAGTTATCTATTTGCTAATACATGAGGTATACTTGGAGCTGAAAAATGTTCTTGAATAAACCACTTTATAGTATTTTTATTTTTAGAACATTAACAAAAGTACTCCCTGTAACTAAAACAGAATCAAAGAGATGCAGTCCTCAAAATTAAAAGTTCTGCATAATACGTACATAGAATCAACAACAGCACCAATAAAATTCATGAAAGTTGTGGGTCATCTCTTTGGCAAACTAGTGTTAGCCTACCCCCTTCATTAAACTAGGTCAATCAGTATCATTATTTAAGAGTAGGAAAAGTACTTAAAAACCATGGATGGCCTCCCTGTCATAAAGGATCACATTACTTACAAGTTTCGTATTTTACATTCTACTATGGTAGCGTTAGTTGTTATGTTGTGCTTGGTTCCTATGCCAGTAGCCATACCGACACATTTCCCTTTAACTGGAAAAAAAAGTAATTTATCCTATTTCACACAAATCAGGAGTACTGTTTAAGAAACAGGATACAAATAAACCAATCCACTAAGAAATAGAGATTTCCCTCCTCTTTCCTAGGTTCTTTGTTTTGTTTGTGTTGTGTTTTTTTTTTTAATAATATTAATACAAGAAGCAGAATTTCAAATTACTTCTCAATAATGTACTTTCAAGTTTAATCTATACAGCATCAGGATAGAGCAAGCAGCTACATTATGTTTTAAATGCAAACACTTATTGTTCACCATGAACGTGCTTGCAAACACAAGGTTCTCCCCACCTACACGAAACACTTCCATCAATAAATTCAGAAGATTGTATAGTATGAGTCTTGACATGCACAAAACACCCTTTTTCTAAACTCAGCCTGCAAATTTTATAGTAAAATAAGTATGTCTAAACTCAAGAGATCCTACTTAACAACCTCAAAACCCATTTTATCCAACTATATTTAAATCAGATTTTTAAACTTTTTTTTTTTCCTAAAAATAAATCAATCTAAAGCTTAGTTACATTTGTCTTCATTAAAGGTTAAGCTTACTATTACTTACTCAAAAGATACAGATAGTAGTAGAGGGCATCAATGAAGTGCATCAAGAAGTTTAATTCATTAAGAATTTCTGATTTTTTAATTATATGGAGAACTTTAAGAAAAACCAGCAAGTTTCTGAGTTAATTTTAAGTTCGTAAGTCAGAGTATCACACAATGCTTTAAGAGTAACATTATTCATCTGAAATATAATTAGAATGCTAACATTTCACCTTTTGCACAGGCATTTTTTCCACTCTCTCTCTAAATAATTTTGGTTTTACCTTTCCTGTCTGTTGGCATGAAGTTTCTTTTCTTCATTCAAAATATACACAGAGCGCGAATTCATAAGAAAGGGAAAACTTGGTTTTCCTTTTATAATTATGAAGAAGGTAAAAAAAAAGAAAGGTAGGCGAATAAAAGATGTACCAGCCCTAAGATACATAGTCAGATTTTCATATCTTCAAAGGTTGGTAAGGAGCCAAACAAGTGGATGGGTGACAAGTAAAGTTTTCACAAGCACATAAAGACTTGGGCATCTGCTTCCCACTGATTTCAATGCCAGTCCATCACCCAACCCACCCAAAAATGTTACTTAGCATCTCTTTGTTATCACTGAATGCCTTTGAAAATAGGGACTCTGACAACAAGGAACAATTCATAACTCACCAACTACACTTCAAACTTCCCTAGCTTAACAAATTAATTTTTAAGCCAGAACACATCTAGATAAAAAAAGACTTTTTAATGTATCCAGTATATTTAAGGTACTTTTTACTTCATAAAAATACCAGAAATTCCACATTCATCCAAACACAGTTTGACTGAAAACATGAATAAAAGTTAGTAAATTTTCTAGTAAATAAGAAACGTCTTTCAGTATTTTCTAATATAAAACATTGTCTCTTAAAAAAAAAAGGGTGGGGAGGGTGGTTAGTGCACTACCTAGCTGCTCAAATAACTGCTGATATACTGTATCCTCACCCCTGGAAAACGAAATACCACGTTCAGGCACACGATCAGTACAGAAACTATTGGGGCAATTGCAGAAACCACCAGCCTCTAGTGGAAATTAGCCTACCCAAATCTCTGCCAAGTAAATCCGTTTCTGCTAGTCAGGTTACCTCAACCACTCATTTAAACTAACTTGGCTGATTTTGCCTGCAGGACATGCTCCCAATAAACGACTCATCCACCTCTGCTACAACAATTCTGAGTCCAGCAGAAGTCGCCAGCAAACAGCTGAGAGAAGGGAAGTTTTAAATTGTTAACAGCTCTTTTATGAAGTTACCTGTCTAACAGCACCAGCTGAAATAAACTGGCTGATGTTGTACTGTCATCAACAAGGTATTTACCAAAGACTCCTCAGGTTAGCAGGCTGTCGAGGGAGCAATACCGGCCAGCTGCTGGGGGTAGTGATCAGCTGGGACAGATTCCACTGCTGATGTCAGATCCCACAGAAGTCTGTCTATGCCCTCAGAGTAAATGTCACCTTGCAACTCCAAACTACTATTGCAAACAGTTCTAGTTAAATTTTAAGAGACAGTTGGTTTAACAGTCATTTTTCTTGACTAGTCTCAAATCCGTGTCTTGCACAAGCTGTGCTGCATTAACCTTGACCAATACGACCATGGCCTAGAGCCCATATTCAGTTTTAGCACCACTTGTGCAAGCTGCTCTCTGTTATCATCGCCAAATATGCAACTGAGTCTGTTTGGTAAGCTTCTGTTGTTGGTTTGTCATTTTTTTGGTTTTTGGCTTTTTTTAAAAATGGACCAGAGGTTCTAATTCATTCCCCAAATGGTCCGAACATTTATTCTGGGTAGCTTCCTTTGGGAGAGGATATGGAACGTATTATTAAATGTTTTTAAAAGCTTTTAAGCTCCTGGGAGCAAGGGCGTACCAGATGAATTACAACAAACTTACGCAAGATAGACAAGCAACTACCTACATTTCTAGGCAGCACGTTTCTTCAACACAAAGATGCCTTAAAACCAACATGCTGTGGCCATTACAGGGAAGAGATTGTTTTTAAAAAGAAAACAAAGTACCTTTAGAACTGCATGTATCAAGTTTACATCTTATCAACATAATCTCACACGCAAGTCATGTCCTAGGAAGCCACAAAAAGAATTTGAAAAGAAAAAGAATTTGAAAAGAGGAAAAAAATTAGAAGAAAGGGATTTAAGACTGCGAAAAACAGTGAGATAGTGTGGAAGGAGGACACTGACTCAGGAGGGAAAGCGAAGACTGGGAGAGCTCTATGCCCTCTTTCTCCTAAACGCACTAGGCTCGTAACAAGGGGGGAAAGACGATCAAGAAAACAAACCAAATGAAGTTTCCTAAAGTCAGAAAATACAAAACCTGACAGTAAATCACATCCAACAGGAGGATACAGCGCGCGTCAGCCAAGGAGCAGAGGACAAGGCCGGCCTCAGCAAGCGGGCTGCCGACAGCCCG